CAAATTTACAAGAATTAAGTTTAAATAACAACAAGTTGACAACAATTCACTCTGATTCATTCGGTGTTCACAATAATTTGACTAAAGTTAACCTCGACGAAAACCAAATTATTTCCATTGATGAAAAATTCATCGACAAGTCATCAATTTTAAAGCTTTTCATGACAAACAACATTTGTAGTCAATTGGACACTTACACTAGAGTCGAAATAAAACAAAATATAAGAAAGTGCTTGGACAATTATCAACCGCGTCAACTTCAAATTGAATCTTGCAGTATACAAACTAAAGCACAAGGGACAATCATTGGAGGAAGTGAAGTCAAGCGCGGCATGTATCCATGGTAAAGTGTAAAATTATATTAATCAGCACATTCTAAGACTTACAAGATAAACTTACAGGATTGCTGCCTTGATTGCACCAAGAAACAAATATTTTTGTGGTGCAACTTTGATTTCAAAGAGGAAGCTTGTCACAGGTAAGATATTGTAGCTTTCCCGAATAACACAAAACGGTTGATCGAATAGAAATCCAGCACCAAGCCGGTGTGACTTGGCATGGTGCTAAAGTCAAATTAAAACCAGCACCATGCAAGATTTACTCAATTTTGGTGCCGGATTTCTATTCGATTAACCGACTTGTGCTATTCAGGATTGTTGGAACCAGTGACAAAACAAGGGGATTATAAAAGACCTCGGGTCCAAAAAGGTTGAGTCGGGGATCAAAAAATTCAGGAGATTTTGCGATCATTCTCAAGGGCAGTGATGGTCAAGGGTCAGACACTCCAACAGAATTGTAAAGATTGTACAATTCTTCACAATCCATATGGAAGAATTGTAAAGATTGTACAATCCTTACAATCCTTACAATCTTTATATGAGAAGGATTGTAGGGATTGTAATCAGTACAATCCTTATATGGAAAGGATTGTAAAGATTGTAATTCTTACAATCCTTTCCATATAAAGATTGTAAGGATGAAATAAATGTATGGAACATTTAAAAATGTTTTTCATTGGTTATTAGAGAAGAAATATTAATTTAATATTAAAAATTTATTTGTTTGAATTTAAAGAACGAAATAAACTTGATATATCAATTCTGTCCGTTGTAAAACTACGCAGATGGTCGGACGCCCTAAACCAGGGTGATTTAAATCAAAAATCAAAATCAAAATCTTTTTGCAATGATTTTAAAGGTTGATTTAAATCTCTTGTATGAAAGATTTTATTGGGATTTTAAAATCCCTCCATGCAAGATTTTTGTTTTCAATTTTTCAAATTATTTTTCAAATCAACAGTTTTCAGTTGCAGTTCCTAATAAGTAAGAATGCAGTTGATCCTTTTTTGGCCTGAATCTTGCAACTGGATCTTTTAGATCCAAATATTTCTTAATTAATGGTTACAGCAATGGTTCCATGCTGTTTGACTTAAACGAAATCCAATTTGTGATTTTTTATCTTCTGTGCCTTGCTGCTTGCATATAAACAACTGGACTTCATCAAGCATGCCTGGATCTTCCTTTATATGAGGATTTACATGCTTTAAATCCTTTAAAAAACTTAAATATATTTCATTACACCACATTAGTTTAATGAGTCATAAGCAAGAATAGGCACTTGAACTGCCTAGTTCCTTTACATCCACAAAAAAATTTTTTTTTGTTGCTTTTTCATCAAAGATTCACCTCTTGAAATCAAAATTTTTTTGCGGAAATGGCCGGTTCCTTTCGTACATCAAGGCACAGAAGATAAAAAATCACGAATTGGATTTCGTTTCAGTCAAACAGCATGGAACCATTGGTTGCTGTAACCTTTCTTTAAGAACTGCTTGGATCTAAAAGATCCAGTTGCAAGATTCTGGCCAAAAAATGATCAACTGCATTCTTACTTTAGGAACTGCAACTGAAAACTGTTGATTTGAAAAATAATTTGAAAAATTGAATACAAAAATTTTACATCGAGGGATTTTAAAATCCCAATAAAATCGTTCATACAAGAGATTTAAATCAAAATCCCAAAAAAAAAAAAAAATCTCCATACAAAAATGATTTAAATCAAAATTTCTTTTAAAAATCATTGCAAAAAGATTTTGATTTTTGATTTAAATCACTCACCCTGTTCACCGGTGTAAAAATTATACTTTTTACAACTTTTTAATGAGTTGAAATGTATAAAAAATCATTCGAATTGATTCACGGTCAGAGTTTGAAAATAAAATGAAAATTGCTCTATTTTGAAAATAAATCAAAATGAAAATTATGAAAATTGCCAATTTTGATCAAAGCAATTTTGAAATTTTGTCAATTTCAGAAAATTGTTATTTTGGAAATTGTTTATTTTCGAAAATTGCAATTTTGGAAATTATCAATTTTCAATTTTGTGACGTCACAAAATTTCTTCGGGAATTTTGTATGAAAATTTTCATATGAATTGATGACTTTATGCTTGAGACTTTCCTTGATTTTTAATCAAAACCATTATGAGCAATCATAGCAGCAAATGATGAAAATTAATAACGAATCATAAGTACTATGCTATATGAGATATCCCATATGGAACTGGTTATGTCCAACTGACTGGAACTGCCAAAAAAAATTTTATTTGTTTTCTATACTTTTTAGACACTTTCAGAGGAGGTTCCAAAAAAACAGGTTAGCAAAAAAGTTCGGAAAATTCAGCAGTTCCTCTCCCCTAATAAAATTTACATCAAACATGTTTTTCATACATTTTCAGAAATGAATTTTTTTTTTGATAATCATGTTTGTATGGTGATGCAGCATTATGAGTACCTTTAATTTAAAATAAACTTAAAGGAACAACGCATCAAACACGCAGGAATTAGCAAGTATTAAGTTAAAAACGAATATCAACATCCAGGAAATAAACTGTATCTTTTGTTTTTCTGAAGAAAAAATTCATTTAAAAAGAAGAAAATTTTCATACAAAATTATTCATCAAATATTTATGACGTCACAAAAATAAAAATTGATAATTTCCAAAATTGCAATTTTGGAAAATAAACAATTTCCAAAATTGCAATTTTCTGAAATTGACAAAATTGCTTTGATCAGAATTGGCAATTTTCATAATTTTCATTTTGATTTATTTTCAAAATAGAGCAATTTTCATTTTATTTTCAAACTCTGTTCACGGTAAATTATTGCATTTTATATATAATTGTTTTCAAAGAAATTTCTGACTTTCTTCATTTTTTGTATTTTATCTTATTTTTTAAAAATAAATGGACATTGTTTTTTGTTTAGTAAGGATTGTACAATCCTTACAATCCTCACATAGAAAGATTGTAGGAATTGTACAATCCTTACAATCCTTATATGAAAAGGATTGTAGGGATTGTAAGGATTGTACAATCCTCACAATTCGTATGGAAGGATTGTAAGGATTGTACAATCCTTAAAATTCTGTTGGAGTGTCTGACCCTTGGTGATGGTCGACGCTTGTGCAGCAAAAAAATAACCAGAAAACCCTTAAACCATATTTTATGTTCAGTTTTGACCATAGCTTACGACCAAGGTGTGTAGTGCCACAAAAAAGGGTTGTCCAACACTGCTCCAGGTCATGTCAAACTCAAAGTTGTACCAAATAACCTGATCCAGTAGCCAGACATTTTATGATTTTTTAATAATTTTTTTCATTTTCATTTTTTTAAGCTGCTCACTGCATGTTAATTCTTGCACGTGACATCACAGTCCTTCTGGGCGTTCATGACTTTAGTAAGCGACATGAAGTTGGAAGATTTCCTTATGCAGTTCAGAACGTTTACATCCATCCTGATTGGAATCCACACACTGATACTTATGATGCTGATATTGCAATTATGGTCCTCGAAACTGAAGTCACATACAGCAAGTATATCCAACCGATTTGCCTCATGTACATAAACTCAACATTAGCTGAACACTCTGAAGGTGTTGCCGTTGGATATGGAAAGGACGGAGATCCAAAAAAGCTACATTCAATCATCCCAAAGTCCATCAACTTGCCAATTCATAAAAATGAAGATTGCTTCCTCAAAAACTATGAATTAGCTCGATACTCAAGCACGCGAACATTCTGTGGTGGAGCTGGAAATGGAACTAGTGTCTGCATGGGTGACAGTGGAAGTGGATTGGTCGTGACTGATGGCAGTGCTTACTATCTTCGTGGAATTGTCTCTGCATCACTTAACAACATGACTTATGGATGCGATGTTGACACTTACTCGATTTTCACAAATATTCTGCACTTTATTGACTGGATCAATGGCGTTTCTGTTGAACCAATTTTTTAAAGGTCAGAAATAACGTTTTTAGACCGTTTCACCCCTTTTCCACCCCTTTTCCACCCCTTTTCCTTTCCTTGCTGGTTAGAATTTCACAATCTCGAGCAGCATTGATGATCGAATGGACAAGATGATGTTGACTATAAAGCTATGGCATATAACAGCTGTTTGCGAAGATATGTTGGAACAGGATCATGCCAACAACTTGTTCATTCGAACCTTAATGCAACTAAAGATTGTGTCACTAAATTTTAGACCATGCCTGCAACCTCAAATGATAAACTTTATAAGTACATAACCCCAAATATTGTATCTTTTTTGTTTTTTTAGGGTTTTTTATGCTTTTTTTAATAGTTCCTGTTATGTAGCAACGAAAGTGTAGTCAAACCATTTACCTGGCTATGCCTCGATGCAGCACATTTACAAAATGCATTTTTTCCTTAAAAATTAAATGAAAATAAAATAAAATAAATAAAAAAAAAACAATTTTTTATTTATTGCTCCGTCACTGCATCTTTATCCATAACAATGCAATTCAATGTGCTTAATCGATTGTGTTGTGCTGCATTTATGGTCTATCTTTTTAGCATTTAAGTACGAGCGTTTCACTAGTTTTTTTCTTAGTCGCTTTATAGTTTTGGGTCAGCAATCATCAAGTAAAAGGAATAAAATGGGAAAAATTTAAAATTCTTAAAACTTAACCTCAAAATCATAAAAAATGTTAGTGGCGCTGTTTTTACTTAATTTGTTCATCATTTACATCACAATTACATCATTTAAATATTTTTGGAACCGCCGTCGTCTCTACAAACTAGCAAGTCAAATTCCAGGCCACAATGGACTTCCAATCGTTGGAATTCTACCAAAATACTTAAAAATCGATAAAAAAGAATTTTTCAGCTCAACTTTTGACATGATGGATCCAAATGCAACTCTTACTAAAATCTGGGTTGGACCTAAGCTAATGTTGCTGACTGAAGATCCCGATGTGATCCACACAGTCTTTAACTCTACAAATTGCATTAATAAACCTGATATTTTCTATCATGCATTGACTGTCATAAATGGATTACTTCCTTTATCAGGTCCACGATACCTTGAACATAGACGAATCCTCAATAAATCATTTATGCTGACTACATTGCAGAAGATCCAGCCTATAATAGAGGCAAAGTGCAATCGAATGATCAAGAAATTGGAAGGAAATGTCAATAAAGAACTAGACATAATGGATTTTGTTGGTGCATGTGCACTTGAGTCATTTGGTGAGGCACAGTTTGGATATTCATCAGATCTTTATGGATTCGAGGGACATAAGATAATTAAAGAGTAAGTTTTGCGATATATGCTGTATATTTGACTTTTACCTTACTAAGATTAGTCTCCATCGACCCTAAAGAGTCTCCATCGACCCTAAAGAGTCTCCATCGACCCTAAAGAGTCTCCATCGACCCTAAAGAGTCTCCATCGACCCTAAAGAGTCTTCATCGACCCTAAAGAGTCTTCATCGACCCAAAAGAGTCTTCATCGACCCTAAAGAGTCTTCATCGACCCAAAAGAGTCTTAATCGACCCTAAAGAGTCTAAATCGACCCTAAAGAGTCTTCATTAACCTTAGTGAGTCTCCATCAACTCTCCAGAGTCTTAGTCGAATCTTTACATCTCCAATCGATTGTTTTTCGTCTCACTTGGCTGTCCTCAGTCTCAGGAGAGTTCGTTCAGCCTCAGAAGAGTTCGTTCAGCTTCAGTAAATCTAATTTGCATCCATAAACTAAAATATTGTAACTTCTACTTCCAGATCGCTTGAATTTGGTCTAGACCGCGTTACCCAGCCATGGCTTCATTATCTACCAGAGTTTATATTCAAAATGACAGAAATAAACAAGAAAATTGACAAAGTCATCAGTTTTTGCATAAAATATAAAGCAAAAGTAACGGAAACTTACAATCAAAAGAAGGTTGAGGACTACGACTCAGTAAAGCATCGTGTGATTGACGTTCTATTGAATTCAGAGAATAATTTGAGTGATATTGAAATTAGAGATGAGCTGATTATGTTCACGATCGGGGTGAGTTGTTAGAAACTAATATTCCATACCCTATCCCCTACCCTATCCCCTACCCTATCCCCTACCCTATCCCCTACCCTATACCCTACCCTATCCCCTACCCTATCCCCTACCCTATCCCATACCCTATCCCCTACCCTATCCCCTACCCTATCCCCTACCCTACCCCCTACCCTATCCCCTACCCTATCCCCTACCCTATCCCCTACCCTATCCCCTACCCTATCCCCTACCCTATCCCATACCCTATCCGTACCCTCTCAAGTCTCATACCTTTTTAAGTTTCAGAGACCTATTAAAACAGAACTTCTTTAACTAAGCTGTTTTCAGTCCTACGACACAACAGCAAAGACAGTCTCGTTCCTAATTTTCTTAACTGCAATGCACCCAGATGTCCAAAGCAAGCTTATTGATGAAATTGACAGTATTTGTGGAACTGAAGATAATCTCGCATTGACAATTGAATTTTTCAAGAAATTTGAGTACATGGAAATGGTCATCAAGGAGACAATGCGGCTGTTTCCAGTTGGACCGTCAGTAGCAAGGACAAATGATGCTGAAATTGAAATTGGTGGCTTTTTAATCCCAAAAGATTCAATATTCTTGATGTCATTGATGAGAATGCACAGAAATCCTAAGTATTGGGGACATGATGCACATCTGTTTAAGCCTGAGAGGTTTGCTGGAGAATTGAGGAATTCGAGATCATTTGCGCCTTTTACTGGTGAGTTTTTGAGGTTAAGAAATTAAATTTGATAATTTTAATGAATATTTTACAGGAGGTAAGAGGCTTTGTATAGGTACGGATCATGTATTATAGCTTTAAACTTAGTCAAAATTATACTTTAAATATTCTGCAGGCTACCGCTACGCCAACATGTTCATGAAAACACTTTTGATCAGCTTCTTCAGATCCTATCAAGTAAAGACATCCATAAAGTTTGAGGATATAAAGCTTGTAATGGGAATCACGTTAGTTATGGATCCAGACTGCCTTGTTACAGTTGAGAAACGGAATAAAAGTTAAATAAGATTCTTAAAACTTTAATTTATATTTTATTCGTTATTCAATTCATGTGGAACTAGCTTCTTTAGGGATCCTTCTAATTATCCTGTAGGGCGCACCAATCCCAACCCTAAAAATCTTCAAAAAAGAGTAGGCAAACTCAAACTTGAAAATGTTCCATCCAAAACCCCAAGCACTTGCTGCAAAAAGCTGTCTTTCAAGAAGTCAATCAAGATTTTAATGCAACTGAATGGATATGGAAGGTCTGTTGTTTCACCATTGATGTATTCCATAGCAGGACTAGCATCAGCATTCAATACAGCACCAAGTGAAGCTCCAATAATGTCCCAAATACAAATGCTTGTAACATATTCTCGATATAAGTCACTCATTCCGATTCCAGAAAACGATGCAAGTTCATCTACAAATTCAAATAGTAAAGTCAATATTTCAAGGGGATAACAACATGATGGGAAAAGTTTTTGGTTGAATTTTTTTTTTAAACCAGATCAATAATAAAATTGTAAAACTAACCCGAATAGCACAAGTCGGTTAATCGAACAGAAATCTGGTGCCAAGCCAGCATGACTCTGGTGTGTTGCTGGCTTTGACTTAAATCCGGATTTCTGATCGATTAATCGACTTTTGCAATTCAGGTAATTCATTTTTTTAATTTTTTCCCATCAATTTGTTTTCCCCCTAACTTACTTGTAATAAAAGCAGCCTTTGATGTTGCTGTAGTGATTGCACTAGGTATGTAGGTTCCAATACTTGTCAATACAGCAAGACAAAAGTTAGATGGTGCTGAAAAAAACAGGTAAAAAATCATAAAATGCTCAAAATTGCAGCTGTAGATCAGCAATTCATTAACAATGCTGCACGGCACACTTTTGCATCATTTGTGAATGAGAAGCTTACCAAGCTTATTGTGCTGTAGCTTAGATAGATTTAGAACTGTTGTTGTTGATGATATTGACATACCTTCCAAAGCTTCAGCTTTAGCCTCAATTGAAGGAACCACATTTATTAAAATATTCTGAATCATATCCTTTAAACTAATCAAATCAGCTGAGATGCAGTCAAGAGGTGCAACAAATGGTTCAGATGTGGTGCCATTAAGAATATTGACGATGATACTTGGATCTACTGCTGATAATCTATTAATTGCTTTAGCTGCTAAGATGATTGAACTGTTAGCTTCACATTTAAGGCCTATTGCGTATGCTGGTGCTAATGCTGGGTCGTTTGAGGTGCCTGGAAGATTGGATTAAGATTATGGAACCAAGGATATGTTACGCTATTAAGTACAGCAGATTGATTAATGATTCTTAAGTATGATGCTTAAGTTAACCCCAGCAAGCTACTATAGAATCTATTCCTAGCTACAACTAGGCATAATAATCACAAATGTGGTTTTTTAATAAACCTTCATACCAGTGATTGGCCGACGGTACAATTTTATGTTGTCAAGGGTCTCCCAAGCAGTAAATTAATCTGATTTATGCTGCATAGTTGTAAGACTAAGTTCAAACCTAATTATTTTAAACTTTCTTCACTAATATGCCAAATTTTAAAGACCCTGAAGCTATAAACTAGTTTATCCATTCATTTTACATACTTACTAGTTGAATATTGCTGCATATTGTCCAGAACAGTCAGCATAACTTGATAAAAAGCATTAAAATTACTAAGAAATGGTTCACATTGTGACGATCCACCACTTAAAGTTGATTCAATTAATCCTATGATGACAAAAATTACTGAAAGCTTCATGCTATCAAGAACAACTGGTCATGGATTGTGGACTGAAAAATGACGATTGACTGAACAAAAATGGAATGCTTCCTTACTTTTTATTTAAAATAGATTTAATGGCTACATCACGAACCACGTGAGTTATACAGTTTGACGATAAAGCACAGGTGCAATAAATTGAGCACAATCTTCTTCTCCTTAAGCTCCACTTCATACCTTTGCTAACGAATCAACCTTTAAGACATCTCAGGAACAGTCAACATTGCCAAATTTCCATCAAAAATTCCACTTAATTGCTCCATAAAATTATTCTTCAAGAAGTCAATCATGATTTTAAAGCAACTAAATGGATATGGAAGGCTCGTTGATTCACCTTTAATGTATGCAATAGCAGGATTTGGATCAGCATTCAACACAGCACCCATCGATGATCCAATAATGTCCCAATAACAAATGCTTCTTAAGTATTCTTGGTACAAGTCATTCATTCCGATTGCTGAAAATGCTGCAGACTCTCCTAAATTAAAATTACAAAACTGAGTATGGCGACTATTGCTTTAATAAATAAGACTTACTGGCTATTATGGCAGTTTTTGATGACATCATAGCCATAGCATTTGGAATGTAGGCATTGATTCTGGTTAAGACACCAAGGCATATACCAACTGGAGCTAAAAGTTGAAAGATAAAGTAAAAGTATAGGAAAAGTTTTGGCTCTGCTTTTAACTAGAAGTCATGCTTAGCATCAGCCACTAAAATTCAATAACTCACCTTCCAAATGTTCAGCTTTAACTGCTATAGCATCAGCCATTTCATCCCGAATGTACCAAATTTGTTCTCTCAAAGCAATCAAATCAGCTGCGACACAGTCAAGAGGCTCAATAAAAGGCTCAGATTCTGTGGTATTAAGAATGTCAATGATGTCACTTGATTCTAATCCTGATAATCTGCTGATTGCTTTAGCTGCAAAGTTTATTGCACCATTTGCTTCACATTTGAGGGCTAGAGCGTGTGTTGATGCTAGTGCTGGGTCCGGAGAGTTGCCTGAAAAATCATTGAGGTCTAATTTCAAGGGGATAACAGCATGATGGAAAAACGTTTTGAGAGAAATTTTATTTTCAACAAAAAATTCGTGAATTTGATGACAATTGTTGGAAATTTCTCATCAAAATCTTTTTCCATCATGTTGTATCCCCCTTAGCCTTGCTTACTCTTTGTATAATCTTCAATATCACGCAAAAGCGACATCATAGCTTCATTAAATGCCTGGAAATCACTTAAAAATGGCTCGCACGAGCTACTCAAAGCTACTCCAATGATTCCAAAGATTATGAAAATTTGGAAATATTTCATATTGTTAAAAAATGTCAGAACTTAGTATTAAAAATGAAAAGTAGCTATTGAATAAGCTGATAGTGACTTTAAAACTTATAAATATTTTTTATCACGAAAATCGTGAGTTGTAAAATTTTAAGTGTAATTAAAATTCAAATCAAGTTCATTCACTTTTGAAACTTTAAGTTTGAAAAATGCAGTCTAAGTAAGTAAGCACAATCAGCAACAAAAGATTTCTTAAGCACGAGAAGAAACTTAATTTCAATGGCTGAAAACTCATCTTAAATATCAAAACTAAATTGCCGTAGATATAAAATGAGTTCCAATCCATTTTTTCTCTTTAAATTCACGCAATGTTCCACGAAGAGCACGAATGTGACGTCAGCAATTCACACGATGTTATCTAAAGCACTGGTTTTATGTTGACTGGCATTTTCTGTGTTCAAAATTATGTTTTTTGTTGCAGAAGATAAGTTGAAGGATAAGCAACTTAATCAGCATGTTATTGAATAATTTGGAATAAAGATTGATTTAAATGAAGCTTAAAACTTCTGATCGGGTAGGTTTGAGTATTAAATTGAGGTTTAAACTTAATTTTCTTTAACTTTAAAGTGCGATTTTGAGTTTTTGATCGAATTTCGAGTTTTAGAATTCAACAAACTTAAGAAATCTTTTGGATTAATGTCAAAACTCTTAAAAATATGTTCAAAAACTATTGAAACTCTATTAAAATGCTCAAATAGACTTAAATTCTCAATCAACTCTCCGTTTGGAAATCTTTCAGAGCAAATTTTCTCAAAAAGCATGAAAAAATTGAGCGAAAAATGAGAAGAAAATCAAACGTTTCGTTTTTGGAGTCTTCTTTATTTACAAAATATTGCCATGCATGGAAATTCATACAATTTTTGTTCTCCTTATCGGGAGGCTTTCCAAATGCTCACTTTTGAGCGGGCAGTCTCGCGTTTTTGAACCTTATGCTGCATAAAATCCTTAATTTCCCGCTTTTTCAAAACTATTTTTCTTGAAAAATGCTTGAAAAATTTGATTTGAGCCACTTTTTCAGAGCTGAAATCAGAACATGACCTTAAATCTAAAAAGAAAAAAGATGGACAGCCTAATGATTTGAGATGATTTTTTTTCGCAGCATAACGCAAGTGCGTGTGCTGAACGCTTCTTGAGAATAGATTTTTTTTTTTCAGAAGTTGTGAGAATGTTGAACTGTCAAGTCAATAACAAGGAACAACAGCATTTGAAATGACTGAATTATGATGAATCTGAACTTAAAATGTGATTTGAAAATTTTAAAAAACTGAAAAAAAACGGGAAAAAATTTAAAAATTGAGCAAAAAAATCTGAAAAAAATTTAAAAATTCTGAAAAAAATTTAACAATTGTGAAAAAATTGTGAAAAAATCTGAAAAATTTAAAAATTCTGAAAAAAATTTAAAAATTGTGAAAAAATTGGGAAAACAATTTAAAATTTGTGAAAAAATCGGAAAACAATTTAAAAATTGTGAAGAAATCTGAAAAAAATTTAAAAATTCTGAAAAAATTTAAAAATTGTGAAAAATTGGGAAAACAATTTAAAATTTGTGAAAAAATTGGAAAAAAATTCGGGAAAAAATTTGGAAAAAAATTTAAAAACTGTGAAAAAATTGAAAAAAATTTAAAAACTGTGAAAAATTCGGAAAAAAATTTAAAAATTGAGAAAAAATCTGAAAAAAATTTGAAAATTGTGAAACAATTGGAAAGAAATTAAAAAATTGTGCTAAAATTCGGAAAAAAATTTAAAAATTGTGAGAAAAAATTAAAAAAAATTATCAAAAAGATAAGAAACTTAAAAAAAATCAAAAAAATTCACTAAAATTCAAATTCTATTAAAAGTTAAAGATTCAAAATATTTCTAAAAGTGTCAAAAAAATTTAAATTAAAATTCAAAATATTCAAAAAAATTCAAAATTTCAATTTGCAAAGAATTCAATCAAAATTATCCAAAAATAAAAAAAATCAATCAAAAAAATCCGACCAGAAAGAAAATATCTTTGGCGCCGTTTTGTCATTGAGAACATCTTACGATGGTAATAAGAACAAGAAAATCCTCACCGTCAACGACCTACGACAACACATTTTCTATATTGACTGACATGGAATTTTTTTGCTGACAACTTAATCGATTATTCTTCGTCTTTTATTTACAGAATGTCGAGATTAAGCCAACGAATGAGCGAGAATGTACGAATGTTGTGCCTTTGGCACTTTGTTTTGCATTGCTGGTTACTGCGGTAAGTATGATTATTAATTATAGTTTGAATGATAGCTTGCAGCCACTTGGAGCACGAACTCGACTTAAATGGTGTCAATTGTGAGTCAATTGGACGTAAAGTCATCTGTTTTCAAGGTTTCATGTCAATTCGGCTCTTAAAAATTAAGTCAGCAGTCAAAACGATTGGAAAGACTTGGTTAAAGGATGTTAATTGTTACTATTAGCTGTGAATGCTAATAAGACTCATTTGCTCATCCAAGAGCGCGAAAAAACAACTTTTTAGACCTCTTTCCCCCCTCGTAACAAAATGGGAACCGTACCAAAATTTTAGACCCCCCCCCTGCACCCTAAAAGCGTTACGTAATAAATGAATGGCCACTAATATCAATTTTTTATTTATTTAAGATTGGTGTAGCGTTGATTTATGGCAGTAATGATGACAGCCTCAAATCTATTCAAAACTCATCGTTAATTACAACAGATTTTCCCACAATTTATTCATCAACTACTCCAAAATCAGTTCCTGTTCAACCAACAGAAGCTAGTCATGAACCTTCCTTTACATCCACAACGATTGCTCCTGTGGCTACATCTACTGTATTGCCTCATTCAAAATCAACTACTCAACTGTCTGAGATACTCACAACGACTATTCAGAGCCCAAAGAATCAAGAAACTGATGACAAAGGATTAGTTTCTCCTGACAGCTCAAATCTGCCAATAACAGAAGCTTCAACTGACAAAACAGCAGTCACAAAGATCGCTCAATCTACAACTTTAGCTTCTGTTGAGCATCAAAATCCAGAACCTGCAGAAACCACAACAATAATACCAGAAATTATAGCTCCAACCCCAAGCATCCCACCCCCATTTGAAGCAACTACAAAGAATCAAATCGTCCCTATAACAACGACTACTTCAACATCCACAGAATCATCTACAAATCACGAGTTAATGCCAACACCACAGCCTCTCAAAGCTTCTACACATGCTAAAAGAACTAAACGAAATACAAATTTAGAGGATTTAACTTTGACAACATCCACAACATTTTCAAATTTAGCATCAGAAAGCCTTCCAACAACAACATTGCTAGCTACTTTAGCAACGGTGCCTCTCAAAACTGGTGATCCAACGAAGAAACCTGAAAATAGATTTTACTTTTATGAATCAACCACAAAAGGCATGGACGCGACTACAACAACTCAGATGAACTTGCCAACAACGAGTGTTGGAGTTGAAACTACTACTCAGGTGTGTTTGATGTTTAGATTGGCTAATGAAGGGAATGGTAAAAGGGTTGAGTTCCTTAATATACCCTAAGCATGGACTTTAATGCCTTATCATCAGTTATTATTTTTTATAAAATCACTGATTAACAATTTTAAGGTTATAAGAACTTATTTTGCCAATTTTTAACTCTTTTAGACTTCATTTGAATCCACAACTCAAACAGCAGCAACAACAGCGTACATCATTACCTCAACAAAGTCCCTAGACAGCACAACAACCTCAGAAGCTCCAAAACCAACAATCCAAGAATTCTACTTAATAGCATGGCACTTAGTAGCTTCAATGTCATTCGTCTCACTCATCTTCTCCTACATCTTCTTAGTTCTTTTTGGTAGATCAGCCAAAAGTGTCATTTGGATCATTAATGCAGCTCTTGTCATTTTCTTCTGCTCATTTGCTGGACTCTCTGAAATGGCTGATTATCGACTTGTCGCTATTTTGTCACTGATTACTGGAATTGTTTTGCTGCTTTTGATGTTTTGGTATCGAGTAAGGATCAATGCTGTTGCTAAGTTCTTGAAGGAATGTTGTGTTGTGTTTGTGGATGTTCCTGGTTTGAAGTATGAGCCGATAGTGGTGAGATGAGTTTTTATTAGGTTGATTGAGAGTCCCGGATAGCAAAAGTCAGGTAATCGATCTGAAATCTGAATCCTAGATGGCTTGACTCTGGCATGAAGCCAGCGCCATGTAAGAGTTACACTGGATTTGTGTCGAGTTTCTGATTGATTAACAGACTTGTGATATCCAAGGATGAATCAAAGGGTTTTTATACTTTACCCTTGACTTTTAGCATATCCTTTAAGCACTGCTTCATTCTATTTCCAGACAATCATCACCATCGCCATATCCTACATCATCTTCTATAAATTCTACAAATCTATTCCTCTCAGCGCCAGCAATGATCCACAAATCTTCCCATTGTTCATAATAACAGCAACATTCATCTGGACAACACAATTTGCCCTAAGTTGTCAGCATTTTGTGGTTTCTGGGACTGTCCTCAGGTGGTTCTTCAATCGAGACAAGACAAAAGTTAAGGAACCTGTAAAGTCATCACTATCTCATTTGATTCGGTTCCATTTAGGAAGTGCTTGCTTAGGTTCACTGTTGATTTGGTTGGGGAAGGTCTTTAGGATTGTACTGTTTCCGTTTAGGGTAAGTATTGAGGTTCTACTGATGTGTGTTAAATCTTGATTAATTTCCTCAAATCCACAGACAACAGAAGGCACACACGGCAACTTAATATCCAACATAGCTTCGTGCTGCTGCATCAAACCAATCAAAGCATTCGACGAAGTCACACAATATTTAGCACCAAGAGCTTATGTCTTTGTAACCAAGGATGGAGTTCCATTCTTAAAATCTGGAAAACAAGCTTATAATTTGGTGTCACAAAGAATTATGGACATTGTAGCACTAGCTCATTACGGAGACATTGCATTGTTTGCTTGCAAAATTCTGATTGCTGTTATTTCTGCTGTTGTTGGATATCCTGCGATTTGGATGAAGGTATGATGAATTTCATTAGATTCTGTGGTATAGCAATGATGAGCGATGCTTAAGGTTCTCAAATCTTAAATTCTTGGGTGCCAAAAACCTTAGCTACATTACAGTACTTACATGCTTACGTGATCCATGTCCTCCCTCAGATGCCACCTAAAACTGGCTCTATCACTGGCTACCGCTTATCAATTTCCTATACCAAGCTACATCACAGATCACGAATTAATTCTTAATTTAATTTTCTTCTTCAAATTTCAGACCGACCAGCAGTACTCCCGTAAAATATCCTTAACAATCGGTGGAGTCTTTGCCTTTGTCATTGCCCACTGCATCCTAATGCTAATCGAAGTCACAGCAGATACAATTCTCGTCTGCTTCTGCATTGATTGTGAGAACAACAACGGATTGTCAAGTTCCTACTTTATGTCAAATGAAATAATGAAATCAATTAAGGACATGAAGGAATGCGTTGGTGGAAGTCTTAATGTTGAAAGTGGTGGAATGGCGACTGGAAGTAGTGCACCTATGCTGTCAAGTCATAGTCAGAAGAGGAATAAGAAGAGAAAATCCTCAGGTGGAGTTAGTAGGTTGTATGATTAAGGTTTGAAGCTTAATAGTAAAGAAGCATTGGTTTAACGGTGTAGCACTTGTTGCTGGTGTTTAAACCTTGAATATGGATTATTTTAAATTATAAATCAGAAATTAATATCCAAACCATTCCTTAAATAATCTAAATTCCTCTAAACTACCTCAAAAAGCTTTAAAAAGTCCAAATTAAAAATCAATTATTACGCTTAAGAAAATATTTATGGATCTCAAACCAATTATCAATGTTCAATTAATTCCCCATCGTTACTTTCCTTGGCCTGAGCTCAATACTAATAATGGAAGTATCCAAAATATTAAAAAGCCATATAAGCTGATAAGCAAGAGCAGTGCTGTCCACAGCACACCAGTGAGCCAGTCAGGACTTACCAAAAAGTTGAGTCATGGCAGATATAAAGGTTTCCCACCACTGCTCTAAATCTGGTGTTAGACTTGCTTAGTGCCAAGTTTAGGTCAAGCCAGTTTTATTCCTGACTTCTCGGCTCTGTGTCACTCAAAAGCTTGTTCCAAAATTTAATCAATAAATTCTAAAGTTCTACAAGTAATATTTAAAGCAGTGTTTGGACAAAACTATGTGCCACGGCACACTAGTGAACCGTAAATTTTTTTGGAAATTGACATGCTTTGTGTGACTGTAATGGCTCCTAAGGTGTGCCGTGGCTCAAAAAAGTTCTGACAACACTGATTTAAAGCAATTCAAATAAAGCTACGATTATAAAATATTTAAAAACTTTTTTTTATTCGTAAAATAAATTTAAAATGTTTGACAAATGTTAAAAGTGAATCAATTCAATCTTCTGTGACTAATCAAATCGATCTGTTGACACTCCATTGATCCAATCGACATACTTAGCCACATCAGTAAATACTGAATAAGAATCAACATCACATCCATAACGACCACCAATAATCGATGATGAAACAATTCCACGAAGATAATAAGCACTGCCATCAGTCACAAATAATCCACTTCCACTGTCACCTCTGCAAACTCCAACACCTGTGCCAGAACCGCCACAAAATGTTCTTTCACTTGATATTTTTACCAAATTTGAATTTTTTAAGAAACAGTGCTCATTTGTGTGAATTGGAGTGGCAATGATTTTTGGGATATTTTCATGGATCTTTGTCTCATCCTCACTCTTTCCATATCCAACAACAACACCTGTTGCTACAGTTGCAACATGAACGCCAGCTAGACAAATCGGATGAATAAATTCATTGAACGTGACTTCTCGATCCAGCACCAGAACAGCCAAGTCAGCATCAAATGGTTCAGTCAAAGTATTCCAGTCAGGATGAACATTGATTCTTTGAACAGCATACGACACCCTTCCAACTTCGACAACTCTTTTCAAGTCATAAACTCCAAGTTGAGTGATTATGTCACCTGCCATCTTTGGGGATGAATCGTGTTTGTCTTGAATGCAATGGGCAACTGTAATTAGTTAATTAAAGTGATTAAGGAATTGAGTGTTAGCTATAAGGACATACCTGTCACTACTTTTCGATTTGACACAAGAGTTCCTCCACAGAAGTAATCGCCAGATGGTGTGACTAGAGCTGTAACCCTGTAAAGAATCAATATTAAGCATCTTGTGTAAAATGTACTTAAGTATGATGCTAGTGATGATGAACCAAGGGCTGGAGAGTTTCTGGCTGCACCTCTGGATTTAACGAACTAGAATTAACTGTGACTAAAGTAGGGCATACCAAGAAGCTCTTAAAACTGACTCCTGCCGTAAAGTGCAGCTATAAAAACAACAAAACAGCCAAAAAAAGTCTACTTACCAAGGAAAATTCCCCCTTGCCACATGCTGCCCACCAACAATATTTCCAACTCCTTGAACAGGCTTCCCACAAATGTAAGCACGCACAACTTTGACCAGTGACGTAAGCAACTCCTGAATTTTATTGTCATGGTTCTCAAAACATGTCTTTAGTCCAGCTTTGATGTTATCGATTCCTTTGAGTTTATCTCGGCTGCAAATGTTGCCCTCCATATTGATAAAGTTAACTGCTATCTTGTCAATGAGACTTTTCTCAATTTGGTTAATTCTATTGCTTCCTAAGTAGATATCAACTAAGTTGTTATGGATACCAAAAGATGCTGCATGAACCACTGTCAATTTATTGTTAAACAAGCTTAATTCCTGCAAGTTTGATAAGCGACTAAATACATTGCGTGGAAGTTCTGTGATCTCGTTGCCATAAAGGTTCAGAATTTTAAGGTTATGTAGACCATCGAAGGAATTTGAGGTTAAGGACTTGATTTTGTTTTTGTAGAGGTACAGCTCAGTTAGTGCTGGCAATGATTCAAAGGATTTAGCAGGAATTGCAGCAATTTGATTGTCGTTCAAAAACAACCACTTTAAAGCTTGTAAGCTTTTAAACCATTCAGGATTTATTGATTGCAGCTTGTTGTGTTGTAAGTATAAAGCTTCGAGTTGAATCAGTGGATGGAAAATCTTGGCTGGCAGGAAGTTGATTTGATTTCCTTTAAGGTGCAATATTTTGAGGTTAAATTGACTGATTAATAAGTTTTCAGGTAAGGTCGCTAATGGACTGTCGCGGAACCAAATTTGAGATAGTTTGGTGTTCTTGATTAACAAGTCTTTTGGTAAATAACGAATTTTAGTTCCAGCTAAGTCGAGAATGTCTAAATTCTTACAATTTTCTAGAGTATTTCCATCAATTGAGTGAATGTCAGCATCAGATGTCCTAATAACTTCAAGATTCTTGAACTTTTGACAGAAAATTGATGAAAATGTTTTGATGCTGTTGCCTTTTTCGATGAAAAAGTAGGTGACGTCATCGTCAGAATGGCTAGCGACATGTTGTCCGTTAATTTTGTCAATAGAACTTGCATTAATAGTCTTCAAATAGCAGGAATAATAGCTTTTGTTAGAGTTTATAAAGCCATTGGTCCAAAAGTATTGTATGTCATAGTCACAGACAGCTGATTGAGCTTTAATAGCTGAATTGATCCAAAGGATTGTGAATAAAAATATAAAAATTTTCATATTTAACTTTTTTGTGGCTTTAAAATGTCTTTTTGTTCAGTTCTTTTATGAATAATCTACAGAAATAAATCACATCGACACTCAGGACATCTAAACATATTATTAAGTCACTATTTTAAATTTTAAAGATTTTAAAATGTTGAAAAAAATCAAAAAACAAGTCTTAAAGGTGCTTAAGCGATTCACACACTGAGAATGCAGACAGAAAAGTAAATATGAAACATTGTTAAGCTATAAAAGATACAAAAACAACAAAAAAACGATGCGGTCAATGATTCTGTTTATTTTTGGGAAATTCCGAACGGACATCATCACATGATGGTCATTTTGGAACAGGTTGAGTTAAAAATGAATTTTAATGATGCAGTTCTGGGGATTATAAGATGGTAAATTACCTTAATTTATTTTAAACCTTTATTCTCCTGCACCTTCAAGCTTCCCAAAAAACTCTACGCCCAAAACTCAATCCTCTGACAAATAAAAGGCAAATTAACATTCGAGCAAGCATGATCATTGTACCCAAATCTATCTCCAGCGTCCCTTTTTCCAATCGAGAAGCATCTTTCATTGCCTTGCCAATTGTCAGGCTGCACAGGACCCCATGGAATCAAAAAGGATATCTTCTGTCCATTCTTCGTCCAATACCAGTCTGTTGTTGACTTCGGTGTCAATACGATCCCGTCAATGAAGATCCAAAATGGAGCACGTAGCTTTTTAGTTTCACTGCTGCTTTCAGCTAATGCCAGGAAGTTTTTAGCTTCTGCGAGGGTCTCTAAAGTCACTAGTTCTAGTCCAAATGCTTTGCAGATTGCTTTAGATTCACCCCAACTATTTTCCATGTACCGAGGATAGAAGTACGACTTTCTGTACTCGAAGATGCCGTCTTCGGTGAAGCCTCCTGGAAAATGTAAGGAAAATTAAAGTTTTTTGGTAATTTTCTCTCCGCATGGCTTCGAGGAGCTTTAATGGTCCGTAATAAAATCTAATCAGAGCCAGTTGTTGTTGCTAGCGTGGCACAAACACATGAAAGGCTCTGTGGCTTGAAAAGTTAGAAAAACACTGATTTAGGTGCTAGATTTTAGTAATGATGTCAGTGTCTAGCTTGAAGTGGATCCAGAAATTTGTTAAACCTCTTCTTTGGGATACACTTAGTGCCTAGATTATGTCTTACACAGCTGAGTAACATTCAGCACTAGTCAAGGTGCCATTTAAAGCAACTAGTCACTGTCCAGAGTTCAACTGGATTTATTAATCAAATGAATAAATCTCATCAACTTACTATAAGTTCCCATTTTGATGAATGCAACGTCATCAATTGTATTTTCGTTAACACATGCTGAATATGAGTTCGGACCGGATGTTTGGTCGTAGATGTTTAAATCGTCGTCATCACAATGGATTATCACTACATTGACTAATAGTAGAGTCAATGCTTTGGTCAACTTCATTGAGATTGAGTTTTTGGAACCAGTTTTGGTCAACTTATGTCTTGATCGGACAACAACTTACAATGTAATGAGCAAGAAGTCTAATTTGTTGTTTCTTTTTGATTATTGGTTTTAACTTTTATTGCCTGTTATAGTTTGAAGTTGTGTTTGTGTAGCTGCTTGTGTAATTAGTCATTGCTGGTAGTTGGTCGAGCAATAGACTTTTTGAGTCTTATGGGATTCTTTATATACCAAATTTACATGTTTTTACATTGAAATGTTGACAAAAATGTCCAAAAATGTTTTATTTTCAATTTCATAATAATACATCCACACATTGGCTATTCTCAATACAAAGATAGTCAAATATGCAGTTCCAAAATAAATTAATATTCATTCAAATCGATCTGTTGACACTCCATTGATCCAATCGACATACTTAGTGACATCAGTAAATACTGAATAAGTGTCAACATCACATCCATAAGCACCACCAATAATCGATGACGAGACAATTCCACGAAGATAATAAGCACTGCCATCAGTCACAAATAATCCACTTCCACTGTCACCTCTGCAAACTCCAACACCTGTGCCAGAACCGCCACAAAATGTTCTTTTACTTGATATTTTTACCAAATTTGAATATTCTAAGAAGCAGTGCTCATTTGTGTGAATTGGAGTGGCAATGACTTTTGGGATAGTTTCATGGATCTTTGTCTTATCCTCACTCTTTCCATATCCAACAACTACACCAGCCGTCAAAGTTGTAACTTGAACAGTAACCAGACAAATTGGCTGAATAAATTCACTGAATGTGACTTCTCGATCCAGCACCAGAACAGCAATGTCAGCATCATAAGGTCCAGTATAAATATTCCAATCAGGATGAATTTTGACTGTCTCAACAGCATATGTGGTTCTACCGACTTCAATAGTCCTGCTAAGATTATGAACGCCAAGGAGAACTAGAAAATCACCAGGTAATTTTGGATTGACTTCGTGCTTGTCTTGGATGCAGTGCGAGGCTTTAATGAATAAAATGATTGTAAATTGAAGGTTAGAAGTTCTTTGTCTTAATACAAGCTTACCTGTTAATACTTTCCGACTTGACACAATTGTCCCACCACAGAAGAATTCACCAGTTGACAGAACTAGAGCTGCAATCCTGCAATTAAGTACATGTGAAGTAGTTATTTTTAGAAAGATAAGCCAACTTACCATGGAAAGCTCCCACGAGTAATCTGTCTGCCTCCAATAATATTCCCTTGACCAGCAACAGACTTTCCACATGAGCTGATCCCACTGTAGCTTGAAAGTTGAGGTTTAGTCTGTGAATTGTTATGCTGTGGTCTTAGTTGAGGCTTAGTAGAAAGCTGAGGCTTTGTTGAAAGCTGAGGTTGAGCTGGAAACTGAGCTTGTGTTTGAACCCTCGGTTGATAATTATTAAAGCACTTCCTCAAATTCAGCTTCATTTCAATCCTATTTTCCAGCACATAGTGACAGCAAATGTTGTTGGTCATGTTGATGGTCTTGACAGCATTGCCGATGAATTTTTCATCAATTGAGTTTATTTGATTGTCTTGGACACGAATGTTAATCAAGTTATTGTAGAATCCAAAGGAATCTGAGTGAATTGTTGTCAATTTGTTGTTGCTGATGTCTAAATCCATTAGGTTTGTTAACTGGCTGAAGACTTTAGCTGGTAATTCAGTGACTTCATTGTTGTGAAGGTTTAAAATCCTCAAATTTTGCAGACCATTGAAACTGTTTGGCAACAATTTAGTTATTTTATTGCCATAAATCCACAGCTTCTCTAAAGCTGTTAATGATGCAAAGGAACTTGATGAAATTGACGTGATTTCATTCCTGCTTAAGCTCAGCCACTTCAAATTTTGTAGATTTTCAAACCATTCAGCATCAATTTCCTGTAATTTATTGCTAGTCAAATACAAATCCTGAAGCTTCACAAGATCCCTAAAAATTCCATCAGGCAGTTCCTCAATTTGATTCCCATGCAGATCCAACTGCTCAAGTTCCTGTTGATTCTCAAATGAATTCTCATTCAGAGTCGTCAACTGATTGTTTTTCAGCCAAATTCGGATCAATTTTGAATTTTCAGAGAGTAAATTTTGAGGAACTTCCCGAAATTTGTTGCCATCAAGCCACAAAGTCTTCAAATGTTTACAATTTTGCAGTGAATTTGGTTCAATTGACTCAAATGTAGCACTTTTAATTGCAATAACTTCGAGATTAGGAAACTGATTGCAGAAAATTGATGAAAAGACTCTCAATTTGCTTTCAATGTAGTTTGTGATGTACTTGACGTCGCTGTCTTCATGCTGGTCTATCAAATGCTGTCCCTCAATTCTCATGACTTTCTTGTTAAAGTTTGATCGTCTAGTGTCTAGACTGCATGCATAAAATGACTCATTTGTCATTGTGTAACCTGCTGTCCAAAAATATTGACTGCTGTAGACACATCTTGCTGTTTGAGCTTTAACTTCACTTGCTTGGATTAAAATTGTACATAAAATTGAAAAAATTTGTAATTTTTCGTTCATTTTTATTGATTTTAACTCATATTTTTTTTTTAATTTTATTGTGTTCTTTGTGCTGCAAACTAAGATATTAGACACATACTAGCACATACAATAGAGACAGGTAGAGACAAAGAAAAGGTCAAGATAATGATGACTTAATGTTCGACTTGTCGAATGCTAATTGATTTAAAATTAGAAGATTGTTAAAAATAAAACAGGAACTGTGGCAAGCATTGATAGTGTTAAGCTTGCTTCTAGCTTTGCAGTCTCACCAGGACGCTCCCTTTACCTACTCATTCATTACATCAACTCTTAGATACCCTTTCTTGTGTCCTTACCCCTCTTGACCCTTAACCCCATCCTCGATCCTCAAATTATCCACCAACATCCAATCAATCCATCTCCTTCAATGCCGGAAACACATTATCCAAATACCATTGAAAGTTTTTACAGTTCAGTTCCTTTTTAAGCTTCAATCTTTCCTGAATATCCCCAAACCTCCTCCTTCTTGGCTTCACATACTTGTAATACCTCCTCTTGTACTTCCCCAGCCAAATCTCAGCAATTCGATTCATATTCCATCGATATCCGCCCTTTCCCTTCGATCTATGCTTATACTTATGTTCCCGAAACATGTGAGCCACAAGTGAACAAGGAACAAGTTCTACTCGACCGCCACACATCCAAGCACGAAGAGCTAGTTCGAAGTCCTCGCCGCCCCAAATGTCAAAGTCAATGTCCAAATATCCAATTTTTTCAAAGAACTTCCTGCCAATTGCAAGGACAGCAAAGATGACAATTGGAGTTGGTTTTGGGTCATAAATTGGAACTGATTTGTTGCCTTCAATGACTTCATTTGGGATCCATTTAAATTCCAACCGCCAATTCATTCCCATCGTTCTTCCAGCTGTCTTATTGAAGTTCACAGCTAAATTGAATCGATTTGTGTCTGAGATGTTTGGTGACACAACAAGTTCCATATTATCCACAAATCTATCAAGTATCGGTTCCAGCCATCCATCAAAACACTCAATATGACTGTCGACGTATATCAAGACAGGCGCGACTGCATTTCTAGCACCAAAGACACGATTTGCAACAATTCCAAGTCTTTTGTGTGTTCGGATGACTTTTACAGTCACTGGAAGTGATTTTGTGTAGTTTTTGAGATTTTCTTGCAGGTGTTCGTAAGTTGAATAGTCATCGACTAAGATTATTTCCTCAATCAGGTGCAACGGCGACTTCCGGATGATTGAATGGACAGTCCTCATCAACAGACTCCATTCGTCATTATAGAATGGAATAATTATTGATACTTTAGAGAACTGCTCGTTCCTGTACTTCCGATTCTTACAAACATCATTACGTACGTCTGGTAAGTTCCGATTAAGGCTGACTAGTGAAGATGCAAAGGCATTAAATCCATATTTATTGTACATTTCTTCAGTTTTATTGACTATGTGTGCAGGAATTGGTTTGTGGAAGTGAAATGGTTGGTTGTTCTCGCCTGGCGATGTTAAGTTTAGTTCCTTGATGTAAGTTTTTGCTTCATCTGTTAGTCCGTCTGGGAGGATGAAGTCTAGATTAAGTTGTGATGTGATTTTGGAGTTAGCTGTGATTTTTTGGATGTTGGACATTTTAGATTCAAGGTTGTTGATGGTTTTGAGGTTCTGGTTGAGTTTTTGTTGGTTGTTAAGTGTTGTTGATGTCAAAAAGCAGGCAAAGACAACAATCCAAGTGATTACAATTATTGCTGAATATTTCAGAATTGAACGTGTTGTATAAGGTTGAATAATGTTGAGGAGCTTCATTGGAATTTTATTGAGACTTTTCATGATTATTTTGTTGAGGTATTCTAAGTTAAAGTCCTATTTCAGAATGTCCTTAGTGTTAAATGATGGTCAGTTTTGAAATTTACATTGTTCAGCAGTCTTAAAGTTAAGTTTGGTAGTCCCTGTCCAAATTGACGATCTGCTAAAGTTCTCCCTTCTATTAATTGGTTCAGAAATATCTAAAGTTGCCTTTTTTGACCTAAAATTGTTGGTTTCTCTCATCCAGTGCCTCTGCTACTTTGTCGTAGCTTAGCTTACTCAATACAATTCCTGAAACTATGTTTATAGTCTAATTTGCTGTCCTTTCAACTTATTATCTAATGTGTTACTGAACGGAGAACCCCAGACTTGCTAATGGCACTGAATTCTAGACAACGGTCAACTTTTCAAGCTCTTTAATGAGAACCAGTCATGAATTCGTGACAGAAGCTTAATAAGCTATTTGCAATAGTGGAAAGCAGCTGTCATTTCAATTAGTTTTAAAACAATTGTTTGGACATGACCGACCTAGTGGGAGACTTTTAGTGAATTTTGGCAATTTTTCCAAATTTTATTTGATGTGACAGGGGGGGGGGGGATTTGGGGGGACAAAACTCCCCGACCTTAACAGAAATTTCTTCATTTTGCAAGGATTTTTATGAATAAATCATAAAAATCCCCCCTTCCGTCTGAATTTTCCAAAAAAAATTTCACCACCCCCCCCGTTCCCCCCCTTCAAATTCCTGGCTATGTCCCTGGTTTCTATTGTAATTATTGAGCACATGAGGAGCTTGACTAGATGTTTTAGAGGACCTGAAATTTTTCTATAAAATTCTAAATTTTCGAGAAAATAAATAAGATTTAAAAACACGAAGGTTTTAGCAAAAACCAGACGATTTGATATAAAGCTGGACGTTTGAAGTTTGGTCAAAGAACCAGCTGGAAAAAGTGCAGATGGATAAATTAGTATTGAAGTATTTCCCGGCAAGCACATGTCGGTTAATCGATCAGAATTCTGACGCCAAACTGCAGCTTGACTCTGACTTTGGTCTTTGGTCAGACTTGAGCTTGCCAGGTCAAACTTGTGCTTGCCGGGTCAGACTTGTGCTTGCCGGGTCAGACTTGTGCTTTTTGGGTCAGACTTGTGCTTGCCGGGTCAGACTTGTGCTTGCCGGGTCAGACTTGTGCTTTTTGGGTCAGACTTGTGCTTGCCGGGTCAGACTTGTGCTTGCCGGGTCAGACTTGTGCTTGTCGGGTCAGACTTGTGCTTGCCGGGTCAGACTTGTGCTTGCCAGGTCAAACTTGTGCTTGCCGGGTCAGACTTGTGCTTGCCGGGTCAGACTTGTGCTTTTTGGGTCAGACTTGTGCTTGCCGGGTCAGACTTGTGCTTGCCGGGTCAGACTTGTGCTTGTCGGGTCAGACTTGTGCTTGCCGGGTTTAAACAATTTTTTATATTTTAAAATATATTTTTATTGTGGTACAAAAAACGATGATGAAGCTGACTAAGCTTTTAAACTAATTAGTAAGTTAATGCTTCATACCAAATCTTAGCCTACATCAACACATGTTCTCAATGATATTTATGGATTCGTTGATGAAAGAAAGACAGTTTCTCTTACATGCATCGATTTAAGTAAAGCATTTGATTGCATTCAATTTAACATTTTAATTCAAAAATTGCGTAAATTAGCTCTTGATCCCTTCTTTCTAAATTTGCTGATCTCATACATTTATGGGAGAAAGCAGGCAGTCAGTATTGATGGAAATTTAAGTGAATTTCTAATAATTAATGTAGGATCGCCTCAGAGGGTGTACTATCAGGACCTTTCTTCGATTTATGCATAAATAGTGTCTTCAATTTGAAATTAAATGGAAATTTATATTTGTACTGCGACGACATGTCAATTGTCAATTTTGGAAATGATACAAAAGAAATGAAAGCAAATATAGAACAAGATTTAATGCTTATTCACAAATGGCTCAGTAATCATTTTCTTAGTCCTAATGCTAAGAAAATACAATATGTCTTATTTCAAGGAAGAAAGAGATTTGAGAGCTTTACAGAGCGGGCATTAAACATATCTTTTAACGGAACGACTATAGAAAGGTCTGAAAATATAAAACTGCTAGGTCTTATCATTGATGAACAGCTTACATTCAAATGTCATGTCGATGAAATTAAGAAAAGAATTACTCCGTTTATATACGCGTTACGAAGAGCAAGAAAATTCATATCTGAAAAAACAGCTAGAGATTTATACTATGCACATGTGCAGTCACATTTAGGTTATATGAGTACAGTCTGGTCTTGTCTTTCAGTTGGTCAAATGAAGTCTCTTGAGATTCTTCAAAGAAAAGCTCTAAGAATTGTATTGAGGAAAAGTTGGTTTGCTGGAAAGGAAGTACACAGATATGTCGACTAAATTTAGATTCTCAATTTCAGGGTTGTTTTTAAGGATTTCAGCCAGAGTTGGGCAGCGGGCCATTAACATGAATTTGTGGACCTTAAACGTTCGGTCATGAATCTGAATCTGTAAGTCTTTTGTAGATTCATCTTTAATATAAGTCGAAAAATCCATTATTAATCCAGTCTGTAGTTCTGATGACAGGCTTTTCATTTTCCAAATTTGAATTTACTTTTTTTAATTCTTGATTTTCTTTTTTAAGATTTTTATTGTTTATTTGAAGTTGCTGAACTTGCTTATTTAAATCAGATTGTAAAGACTTTGATAGCTGTTGAGCTTGTTCGTATCCAGAATTAGAAGCTTTCAAACGCTGGCATTCATCTTTGAGGCTCTTTCCAGAGTTCTCGAGCTGCTTAATTTTGATCATCAAATTAGATTGCAAATCTTTGGCACTTTGAACCTCCTGATTAAGTTTAATTTTATCTGCTTTTATTTTGTCAAGTTCACTTTTTAAATTATTTTCAGATTTTTGGAAATTTTCGTCAGCATTTTTAAGCTTTTGAAGTTGACTTTGTAGATTGTTGTTGGATTGCTTCAGTTGACTGTTGTCTTTTTTATAAGTTCCATTAACAGTTTTTAATTGATGAATTTGATGATTTAATGCAATTTCTGTGGTGTTTAAGTTTTTTATTTGCTGTTTTAGATCAGAAATTGAACTTTCAAGTTCTTCATTTTCTTTCTCAAGTTCTGAATTTTCTAGCTTTAACTCATCAATTCTTTTCAGCATAGCTTTCTCCACATTTATTGAAGTTTTATAAAATGAAGAATGTTGAAATTCTAATTCAGCTTGGGAAACGCGTAAATCTACATTTGACACCCTCAAACGCTCCTCAGAAATTCTCAATTCTCTCAAAGAATCAAATTTTCTGTAGAAAACATCGTGAAGATTTCGATTAATGCTTTGTGCCTGAAAAGGATTGCTCACTTGAATGTTTACAAATGTGTAGTATTTTGTGTCGTAAAATGTCACATACATCAAGCTGTTAAGTCCAGTCAAAATATCCGGCTCGATAAACTCAAATTTTCTTTCTATAAAATAAATTAGTTTTAATTTTTTAAAATCTTTAAACAAGTCATCCGGAAGATATATCAGGTCATTGTTAATGCTTGTAAATCCCTCCAAAAATTGATAATACGATAAATCAAAATAATTGATTTTAATCATCTCAGAACCTTCAATGTGCAAAAACTTTAAATTTATAAACTTTTCCGCTAAATTCTTAGGAATTTTTGACATTTTGCAATTGATTAATTTGACTTGAGTGACGTCATTATTTGTTTTGCCATGCAAATGTTGCCCAACAAATGTAAATTCCTCATTTTCATTAAATTCTTTCTCGATAACATGACAAGTGTAATGAGCACAATCGTATGCGCAGAGGTAGTAGCCGAATAAACATTCGATGCGTTTGCTATGAATTAAATGTGAAATTTAAATAAGAATTATTTTAAATAATAAAAATTACATTTTCTTACTTTGAGCGTGACCAATCGAATAAAAACATTATTTTTGATTATTTTTTTTTAAATGCAAGAAATTAATTTTCATCAACAAGAATCAGCTGTGATTTGTTGTCAAACATTCCAGTCAATTCCAGTATTCCTTAACAATCTGATCACTGATATTTGAATTTATGAAATACGTTAGCAATAATCAAGATCAAATTGACCAAAAAGAACGAAAATGATCCAAAAAGGAACAAAAAATTTGCGAAAGTCCTCGTGTTACATATCGAGGGACTTAAGCGCATTTTTGTGTTAGCGATCAGTATTTGATTATCTAATTACTTTGCGTTCATTTACAAATCATTTGTCATTTAACGGTTTTTTGAAATTCAAATTTTCTAACTGTCAAAAAATATTTGAAATTATTCCACTTGAAGTTGGCTACATTGTTTTGAAATCAAAAAATCATTAATTATAGTATTTACCGATGGTTTTGAGATTTTTAACTATTCGTCTCCGGAATAACTCGATTGAACACAGCTAACGCAAGAAACTAGAACTCTCTACGATGTCTAGATCAAAAGTTTTTGCATGCAGCCGAGCAAACGAACAAAGCGTATTATTAACCTACCTTTTCGAAACAAGTTTCAAAAATGCGCTAAAAAGATCAAAAAATAGCAAATTGAAAAGATTTTCCCCAAAATTGGGGTTTGACACCAAGCCTCCCATGGCTTCGCCCCTGTGCAGAATCTACTCTAAAGAAGAAAGGAATTATCAGACATCCAGAAACCTTTGAAGTGTTGAAACAGTCGACTGATGTTACATTTTTATACAGTTTGGCTAATTAGCTTCCGAAGATTACTATGAATGGCTTATTCCAGGCTCGGAAACTAGGCGGTATTTAGCCTGGGGCTTATCCTTTCCCATCCCCTAATTTAAAATTCACCAAAAACTTCATAAAAACAGTTAAATTTAAAAGATTTATTAAATAACTTTATTTTTTAAGCACAACAATTAATTTACAAAACAGACCTCAAACTAGAGCAGTGTTTCTCAATCTTTTTTTGGTCAACGGCACATTTTTTTAAATAAAAAATTTTCGCAGCAGCCTGAATAGTCTCGTGATCTTTTTGAAGTCACAAAATCCTCAAACTTTCAAATTTTATGAATAATTTTTCAATTAAAATTTTTTTGATTTTCATCAAATTGTCATCCGAATTGCTGACTGTCTGCCTTACTACATAATCTTGACTATCCCAAAACTCTACCAAATTAAGCTTTTTAAGTCCATTCAAAATATTCGGCTCGATAAATTCAAACTTATTGTCCCGGAAGATGATTTGCTCTAAATTATCAAAATTCTTAAAAATATCACCTGGAAGATATTCAAGTTCATTGTTAATGCTGACGAATCCCTGCAAATGTTGATATTTCGACAAATCACCGCTGCTTATTTTCATCATTTTTGAGTTCGATATGTGCAAAATTTTAAAATTTGGAAAAATTTCTTTTAAATTGTCCGGAATTTTGTGTAAATTGCAGTTGCTAAATTGAACTTGAGTGACGTCATTGTTTGATTTTTTCTCGCTATGTTGTCCAGTGAATTTGAAATCGTAGCTTTCATCAATATTTTTTTTTTCTATACAGCAAGTATAATGTGCTTGATTTTGTGTTAAAAAGCTTGTTTTGAATGTACAATCGATGTTTTTACTGTGAATTAAAAATGTTGCAGTTAATTTTCAGGTTATAATTAAAATGTTAAGTGTGAAAGATCGTCAATCGACAATGATTATATCGATTGTTTCACGTGAAGAAATAATAATCGCAAATAAACTTGTAAAATGTATTTATTTGATATATGTGAAACTATATATGCGATTTTATCGCTGTAATGAATATAAATGTATATTATAAATGAGAATTTAATTAATGTTATTTCTTACAATTGTCGGGACTAACATGTCGCTCGAAGGATGAAATAAAAGTGGGGAAAATGGTCGAATTTCGAATCAGTTCGATAATTCGGAAATGAAGCAAGAAATATAAAAGTGAAAAGACCGTTACTTCACATCGTCCCCTCTCAGGACTCTACGATGACCTGAAAAACTGACGGTCTTACGAATCCCTCTTGTGTCACGATTTTTGCTGACCTTGACTACCAAACTTTTGATCTTTCGAGTTTCGGCTAGTGTGTGGATGAATTGATTTGACGGTATATGTCCAAGATGCTCACGCGTATCGCCTAAGTCCCTGCCAGACATATCGTCGGTACTTGGATTAATTTCATGCATATCATGTACGAAATGTTCGACGTCGTTATCCAAAACGATTGAATGATGTGCGATGGTAGCGAGATCAAATGTTTCGTCGTCATTGAATTCTCGATTCGCTTTTGCATGAAATGGAAGGACTGTTTTGGCTAATGCTGTTGGATCGTCTGTCTCTGCACGATGATAAACAAAATTGTACATTAACTCGCTGTTGATTTGTCTTCTTATGACTGGAAGACTGCATGAGACGGGGATCTTTTGCTTATTAAGATCACCTTGCTTGGCGCGAACAATTAGCAGCTTTGAATTGATGTCATCGTGCTGGAATGACATGAATGTGCCTTGCAGATCCTTATTTTGTCGGCGATTTAAAGGATTTATGTGTCTAATGGGCTTTTCCATCACGACACGGTGAAAAGTATTCTTAAATCCGATTGCGAATGAACGCGAGTGTTTAATGGCATTTCTTGCTGCCTCTTCACGACAGAATATTATGAATGCATAAAATGGCACATGAATATTCCAAATTGGAACCATAATGGTTGCAATTTCGCCAAATGAGCGTAACGACTGCCATAACTCAACAATTCCAACACCATGTGGGATGTTTGTTACGTAAACAATCCTTTTTTGTTCAGGATCAATAAATTTGGTGTAATCTTCGGCTGAAAGTGCGCCAATTTGCGAGCCAGCAATTCGAAGCTCCTTCTTCATGTTAATTAAACGTTCGATGTTTGTTTGTGGGCAAAATTTCAATGCAGATATTGACAATTTTGGATTTTTATTGCTCGAAGAATAATTTTCTTCTTTGGTTAGGGCTTTTGAACTTGTCTTAGGTTCAAACTTTGAATTTTTTGCGACCGTTAGAACTTTTAGACTTTCAGGTGCAGTCACAAGGTTTGAATTATCGACACTACCATGGGTATTCGAATTTTCAATGACCGTTAAATTTTTTGAATTCGTTTTGGACGTTACAGCGTCATACTTTTGCTGTTCTGCAGATTTATGATCGAAACGAAAATCTAGTTTTGCTAGACGTGCTACTGACCTTCTACTCAATACTTGTCCATTGCTGAATCTGACATCCACTACTCGAACCTTTTTATCCTTTCCTTTATAGACATGACACACAATTCCGCGTTTCCATTCACTTGGTAGTTTTGTTGGGTCAATATAAATGACATAATCGTCCAACTTAATGGAATATGCAGGTTTTCTTTGCTGCTTATGTTTTGCAATTTCAGGAAGTGCTTCTTGGACCCAGCGTTTCATGTATGCTTGCACGATTGCTTTTGCGCAACGCACGTATTTTGTGCTTGTTAAGTCATCAATTGTGATGTCATGATTGCTCAAAAAAGGATAATTATTTTGACCAGACATTAACAGATTTGGAGTCAACGGTTCCAGGTCTTCTGGTGATATTGGGACGTCTGTAAGTGGTCGATTGTTCATATTGCATTCGATCTGCGCTAAAGCTGACTCGAGTGCTATTCTTGGAATAGGAAATGATCCGACTGAAGCAACTAAAGCTCGTTTTATGTCTTTGATTAGACGTTCCCAGACTCCTCCAAAATTTGGTGTGTATGGAGGTTGAAAATGCCATTTAAGTCTTTTATCGCTCAAATTGTTCTGGAAATCTGGGTTCTCTAATATGTTCGATGCTCCAAGAAAATTTCTTCCATTGTCGCTGTACATGTGACCAATGGGACCTCGTCTTGTCCATAATTTTTCAATGGCTGCTATCATGCAATTTGTAGACATATCATCCAGTACTTCCAAATAGACTGCACGCGTTATTAGACAAGTAAAAATTACCATCCATACTGACTTTTTGCGACGAGAATTTCCGCAATATACTTCAAAGGGGCCAAAACAATCGACTCCCGTGTAAAAGAATGGTTTCTTTGTGGCATCTAGACGAAATTCTGGCAGTTCTGCTGGTTCAGGTACTACTGTTTTGGCTGCTTTCACGATACAGAAAGGACACCTTACTCTCGAACGTTTGACTGCACGACGAGCATGAATAATCCATACACGTGAACGAATTGAGCCAATAATTGCGTTATCGCCTACATGCTTGTGTTTTTTGTGGTAATGTCGAACTATTGCATCTGATGTCTCGTGCAAGTTTGGCATTATAGGTGGATATCGTGTGTCTAATTGGAATGATTCTGATAATCTTGTTTTAGCTCTTATCAAACCAGTTGTTGGACATATAAATGGTAATAAGTTTTTCAAAGTACTTGATGATGATACGTTCTTCCCTTTTGATAAACTTTTGTACTCGCTTTCAAAGGCTTTTAATTGAACTTGTTTGATGATGAGGTTTTCGGCTCTGTAACGTTCTTCTGCAGTTATTGGATCTTCGCACGTTTGCTGATTCGATGACTTATTAATGCGAGATTTGAGCTTATCATAGAATCGCAATGCAAGTGCAACTATACGAGAATATCTTTCCCAATTAGCTCTAATTGATGCGTCAACATTATGAAATATTCCTGCTTGCCATGGATTTACTTCATCTAATGGCTTTAAAATCATTACTCTTTCAATGATTTTTTCACTGTTTCCAGCATCTTCATCAGTGATATACTGACTGAAGTCTGATGGTAATTGAGGCCATTGATCTGGTGGTCTATAAAGGAAGTCAGGGCCATTGTACCAGCGATGATGTTTATCGCTGTAGTCAATGTCGCACCATTTTGTTGCTAAATCTGCTACGTTTAAGTCCGTTGGTACATAGCGCCATGCTTTGACTGCTGTGAGTTCCTGTATTTCTGCTATACGAGGTGCTACGAATTGTTTATGCTTAATGTGTCCAGCGTAAAGCCATCTCAGTACGGTAAT